GAAATTTTCTGCTACAGCAGAGGTGGAATGTGAAAGTTCAATATTATGGATCAGCTTTGCTTACAAGGAGAGAGAGGAAACAGGCCAGAACCTGTACACTGAAAAAGAAATGAATGAGAGTGATATCACAGAGGTCTACAAAACTATGGAGAACCTGAGTAAGGCATGATAAATGTGATGGTCTAGAGGAAAAATCACATCCAGGAAAAACAGTGCTTGCAAGGTGGACCAGGTGAAGGGCTTGTGATATCTGCCCATTCCTTCCATCTTTTCTTTAGGGAGCCTCCCATTTGCTCTGGGGTGTCCAGTTGTGTTTGTGCTTTTTCTGTCCCTTCGGGTTAAGAGAGAAGACCTTGCCCTGGCTGTAGCCAGAGCAGCAGGACCTTTGCTGGACCTCACTGTGCCTCTGCTTTCCCCAGCTTTTTGCTGCCACCTCCATCTCCAGGTGGACCTGAGCGGAGCTGAGTTATGTACATCTCTGGTGTAGCATCAGCTCTCCTGTTGTTAGAGAATAAATGACACTGTCTCCATAGCTGGGGAAGAAACCAAATTAAACCCCACCATCCTTGGCAATTGATGGGCCAGCTGCCGAGCTCCATGTCACAGTCGATTTCTCATGAACAATCAAAGGCAAATTGTATCTCTAATTTCTGTCACAAATGTTTTTGCTATGGAAAGGGACAAATAGGAGGAGGGAGAAGAGGAGAGAGCACTTGGCCTGGCCTTCAGCCTGATGGCGAGGGAAGGCTGTAATGATGCTGATGTGCTCCCAGCAAGGTGGTGGCTAATGGAGTTGTGTCAAGCAACAAGAAATGGCCAGATAAGCTGCTTTCTCTGGCTGTAATAACACAGCACCCTGCTAAAACAAGGCCACTGGGAAGGAGGGTGAGGAGGGAAGTGGATTGCTGGTGAGAAACCCGGCACAGGAGACCACGTTCCCCAGTGGAGAGCCACACCAAGTGTGGGAAGATCTGTCATAAAGCTCTGTAAGTGTGAAATTGTTTAATTGGGCTTGCCAGAGAGAGACTGGGGATGCTGTGGCATTCAGGATGGCTGCTGTGGGTGACACCAAGCTGTGAGACATTCAGATTGTAGTGATAAGCAGGTACCGACTTCTGGCACTAATCTGAGTGCGATAAATTCGCGGCATATTGACTGTGGTGGAAGTCTAGATCAGTATCAGTCTTCAAGAGGCTCAATAGATCAATGTTTCTTTGATACAGATAAAGCAAATTGAGGGTCGGTGTTTATGGCATTCCCTGCATATGGTGTTAGTATTCTTTGCTGATCCATCTGCCGAGGTAGGGGAGGGAAGAAGGAAGGTAAGAAAGGATTTAGAAAGATAATGCACCAACATTTAAAAAGCAGTTGTAAGAAGGAGATTTATGGCATTTTTTTTTCATCAGTTTTAGGATGAAAAGAGGAAGATCTTCATAAAGATGAGTTGTCCTTTGAAAGACAAATTCCTATCAAATGGTGATCTTGATTTTAACGAGGTGCCCATGGCAGGGGGATCACAGGCACATGGCTTTGCTTGCTTAGGCTTTGGCAAAGAGGGACATGTGGGTTTTTCGCAGGTCCCTGCTGCTTTCTGGTGGCAGAGATACCCATGCCTGGCTCTAAATGCTTTAAGGCAACTGGCAGAGAGATGGTTAAACCAGGGCACAAAAAGAAAAGCCATTTACTTCTCCTCTTAAATAAATCAGTTATTCCTGATTTAAGAGGGGCTGCAGGTGACTGAGGTTTTGGCTTCACCCTAAAGCCAATCCTGGCATTTCTGGTGCCACTGGAATGAGTGTGACTTTGCCAATTTACCCTCTTGAACAAATAATCTGAAGTGGAGAAACCTGTTACCATTATCAATGAGATTGTCTTCATTTTTAAAAAAATCAATTTATGTCTTTTTTTTTCTAAATGATGAGGACCATCAGTCACCAGGAATGACATTTTGTTGTTATCCAAATTTTAGGGGAAGTCTGTTGAAGGGTTTTTCTCTGCTCCCTCTTCCCATACCTCTCCCTGCCATGGCTGGAGGGCAGCGGCTCTACTGGGAAACTGCTGGGCCTTGCTGGGATGGCATTTCAGTTCCTGGAAGCCAAGAGTTTGCAGTTGCAGCACTAGTGTTGCCTGGGAACTGGTGGGAAGGGACCAAGCCAAGGTCCCATGATGGCCTCCAATGAAGCAGCTTGGCATGTTATGTCTCCATGGCAATTTTCTCCTGAGGGCTCATGTTTGTGTCAGTGCTGAGGTCATCCACCCCATGTCTCAAATGACTGCATGGCTTGGAGCGGGGTTGGAGACTTCATGGTTGGGTTTGTTTCCAATCAAAATCCCAAAGTCATGATGGTCAAGGTAAAACAAGCCACCCTCAAGCCATCGGGGTGTTTTAAGGGGACTTGGACCACAAGGACATCCTTGTCCTTGTGTTCCAGCTCTTCTCTGATGGGTGAAGGGAACCTCTCCCAGGCTGTTTGCATTCTTAATGCACTGCCATCCCAAAGCTTGACCACCCCAGCTGTGCATGGACTGGAAAGCAGCAGGAGGTCACAATGGGTCAATTAATGTCACAGCAGGTAGATGACATTGCAGCAGGTTGGCTGAAGGGATGGAGGAGAGCGGGCACAACCCTTGTGCTGGTGTGGGGACACAGGGAGACTTGTAAAGGGTGCTTGGCCATGAAGGTGGTCCCTGTGCTGGCAGGGAGGAGGAAAGGTCCCCGCCTCTCACTCCTGATGGGAAGCTGTGATCTCAGTGTGGCACCTGCAGGGGACAGCAGAACGTTTAAAGCACAGCACGTATGGTCAGAGCGGTCTGACCAGGTCAAAGCTGGGCAAAACTGTAACCTTGGCCAGAGGTGAGCGAGGTTCCTCCATTGGACATGGGGACCCTCCCCAAGACCCCCATGTTTTCCCACTGTAAGGGATGTCCTGAGGGAGGTGGCATGGCCTGGCCCTCACAACAGGCAGTTTTTGTCCCCTCGCTGTGCTCAGCCCTGCAACAAGTTTCCAGGAAGAGATGCCGGTGTCCGAGGGGAGAACCAAAGGCACCTGCATGACCCTCAGGCTGGGGCTCTGCTGCCACCGCTATCAAAGATGGTCTGCAAGAGGGCGGGAAGATTAGATGTCACCCTTGGAATGCGTGAAGGTCGCCAGATCTCATTACTGAAGTGATGTGTACAGATCCGTCCTGACACGTCCATTTATTAGCAGGGACCACGCAGGTTGATGGGGAAGTTGAGTATAAACATGGAAATGGAAAAAGGTTTTCCAAGTGGAATGGACAGGACCTTTGGAGCACCTTTCCCTGCATATCTATTTCCTTCCTTTCCTTTTCTCATCCCTCTCCTTCTCCTTGTTTCACAGGACTGGCTGACAAAATTTGGGTATCTGCCCCCTCCGGATCCTGTCACAGGACGGCTGCAGACGCAGGAGGAGCTCACCAAGGCCATCACCGCCATGCAGCGGTTCGGGGGGCTGGAGGCGACGGGGGTCCTAGGTCAGTGGCTCATGATCCCTCCTCTCTCCAGTGCAGAGGGATGCAGGGATGTTCCTTGAAGGTCCAGGAAGGAGAGGGGACTTGGCACTGAGTTGTGGAGCAGCATCACCTCCAGGAAAAGCTCACGCGGGTGTAACACACGGCCCAGTTTGCAGCCGTAAGAGTAATTACGTGGCTCAGGTGCTTTGTTGCCTTGTGCTTTCAAGAACCTGAGGCAAGCAATTATTTCACCAGACCCACGCACCCTTGGGGTTCCTGTCGTGCTTAAAATAGCTTAAAATAGCTCTTGATGTGTTAAAAAAAAAGGGGGGGGAGAAAAAAAGACAGAGAAACTAATGCTGATAGGCTGTCCTGGTCGAAGCCTTAACTGCAGCATCACACTGAGTTGAACAAAAATCCTGATCAAGCCTCCTCATTTGTATATGTAGATATTCTGGTTTCTTCACCACTGAGGTGCAGCGCAGGGGAGGGAGGAAGATGGTGTCACGTCACCCCAGCGCTGCGCGCTCCTGCCCATGACGTGTAGAGCCGTGAGGTGCCTGTGGAGCTGGCAGGGCTCTCCTGGGCTCTGGAGGAGCCGCAGCAGCTCTGGTCACCCTCTCAGTCATCCTTGACCAGCTGAGAGCCCATCACCCTCCCCAGCAGCTCGCAGCCAGTGGGACAGGGCAGTGGGTGGCTTCTGCCTGACGTGATGACCACATCTGGCTGGGAGGGAGCAGTCCAAGGGTGGAGAGACATAAGTTTCCCTGGTGTGGCCAGGGTCATTCCTCTCAATGTCCTCATTGAGGGAAGGAGAAAGCCAGCATTGTCCTGGCCCTCGGAAGGGTGCCTGTCTGCTCTCCTCCTCTCCCTGACGCACGACCTCCTGCCGCATGGCCAGCTTGCTTCCGCCGCTCAGGACAGAATTAATGAGAAGTTGCTAATTAGCAGGCTGGTCTCCATCCAGCCCAGTGCCCTTGGCAGCCCTCTGCCCATCCCTTGGAGCAGCGGCTGCCTGAGGAGCTCCTGGCCATGTCCCATCGCTGGGACTTTCCCTCTCTGCTCCTAATTGAGCACATGCAATTATTCCTCTTCCACCTTATCACAAGTTGCAGGAGGCCTGGGAGCAAGAATGGCCTTTCCAATGTGGTTGTATTTTCACTTTTGGAGGGGAACGGGGCTGGGGGGTAGGATGTGGACATGGATTTATATCTGAAAACAAAGTGTTTAAGTAAAGAGGTAAAGTCAGCATGGAAAAAGGGTGAACAAACAACTTGTTTGCCTTTCAGCAGATGAGAATAGAAGCTTTAAGCTTTCATTCAGTTTTAAAAATAAGTAAGAAGGAATATGAATGTTTTCCAAATGAGCTCCTAGCTGAACAGAGATAGAGTTTATTCACATGCCAATGTTTCTCTGCTTTGCCAGGGGAATAATGGGTAATTCAGCAAGAGGGAATAAAACAGAGTAATTAAAAAATTATGTTTTAACATAGAATCAAAGCTGGCCACAGGTGGTTTTCCACACAAGTTTTCAAGATCTGTAAAGTATTCTGCAAGAGATAACCTGCTGCATTTTCTCCTGAAATCAATAAAACTGCCCATTGACACTAACAGCAGAGCTGGCACCTAACGCCCCAGCCATGAGGTGTCATTTCCATGACCTCCTGGCAGCCCCAGCTGGTGGGTGCTTTGAA